TGTTCCCGCGGAAACCGAAGGAAAACCGTAAGACCCGGTCGGATGAAGGGATCCTTTCGTGGTACGACAGTGGGACCACTGAACTGTTGGGTGACTTATGTGGTACAAATGGTATTTAAATATGTTTTATTTTTTAAAAAACACAGGAATAGATGATCGAATGGAATACAAATAAATAAACGATATAGCTCGTAGTGTACAGGTCTTTTCTCTTCTCAGGTCAACGCAACTCTCTCCGAATCTCTCCGATGAGACTGATAGAACTTTCTACTATATAATTACGGTAGGTTAGACTAACGTGCACATCGATGACGGAGAGAGAATTGTGTTGCTGTAGCATCTGTGAAGATATACACGAAAGCCACTATAGTGCAGTAGCTGACAGGTTAAGAAAGGCAATATCTCTGTTACGGGTAGAACGAATAGTAACAAAACAGTTGGAATAAAAGCCGATAGGCGAATTATCGTTAAGTCAGTTTGAAAAGGCACTATATCCATAAGAATGCGCGTAAAATTTCAATTCATTCATATTTTAACTCGCGGCCCGCTACACCGACTGATTCAATAATTCCCCGATAAAACCGTGCCGATATTTGCGAGCCAATAAATTCGAAATGGTTCGTTCCAACTGATCCAGCAGTATCACCGTTAACCCGGCCGTAATTCGATTTTTCGAAGCGCGCGCTCGCGGGTAAACGCGAACGGCCGGCCGGTCTTCAAAGTTGCCGTATCGCTGTAAAAAATCTGCCGCAACGATGGATGAAGTTATCCAGATTACCGCGGGCGTCGTTACCGTCGCTTTATTTACAATATGCGCGATAAAGGTGTAATGCCCCGAGTGGAGGGTCGTATCTCGCCGGGCAAGATTAATCGACGAGGCAGTTGCGCGGCCTCCGGTCAGGTAAATAAAGTCGGTGTAATCACCGGCTTGATCCGTATCGCGGAAACGATACCGGGCTAAAGACGAAGAGGGTCGAGGAACGACGACGACGACGACGACGACGACGACGACGACGCGGCGGCGGAGGAGGAAGCGGGTAAAAGCCCATGAAAAACGCGACGTCCCAATCCCGCAGCCCGCGCCCGAACCCGTGCCGGCGCGCGCGAGTTTGAAAGTTAAATTCACGAAAGGGGACGTTTCACGGTTGCGCCCTTTAAGGCAATATCCAGGGCAAAGTACGCGCTAGTAGGCCATTACAAAGTTATAATAGTACCAGCAACCCTCTTACGATGTTCGGAGCCCCGGCTAGGCGGCGCGTTTTGACTTTAAAATGAAATAGTCCGCGCGACCCGCGCGCACAACGTCCGCCGCCATCCCCCGCCGGCCCGCCGCCGCAGTAAACGTATACAACGGGAAGTTGCCGCGCCTTCCCCGGCGGCCATTACGCAAAGTGGTACGTTTTTCCGAAAGCCACGGTCGCCGAGTAATTCCTAATGGGCCGTGTAACGCCGCGGATTTGCCGAAACGAGCCGCGTCCGCCCCGCCGCGGCGCCATTCTAATTGGAGATCTCCAAGCCGGCGGACGCGCGGCGACCCGCTCGGATTCTTCGCCAATTCCCGCTGTTCCGAAGCCCAACTTGTTGCCCGCCCGCATTCACCGGCGAGTCTTAAAGTCTTCGCGCGGAAGGCTCGCCGGGACTTTTCGTCGTCGAACCTGTCACCGCGAATCGATAACGATGGCGACGATGGACGATTGACATTCTTCGAGTGTGCTGTCTGCGAAGGAGACCTCGAAGTTTCAAGAAATGTAAACATTCTATGTTTCTTTGGATAACGTTGGAATCGACGCGCGAAATATCCATTGTCATTTGAAAGTTCGTAATGTCCCCGTAATGTAAAGGAAATATAACTACCATACGTTTAGTGCTATACGTTACAAGTTTTATCCGAAGCATTTTGCTTGTATCACTCGTAATTTCTGAGTTATCGAGTTCTCTCTAGTTTTCGGGTCGTTAATGCCTTTTCTGTGGGACGCTGGTTAACGAATCGGATAAGGCCAGTAGGAACAATAACTTATCCGGCGCAAGTAAAGCAAAAAAAGGAAATGAAAGCGTTTATGGGGAAATTTGAAGCGACGAATGGAGCCACGTTTAGTAATTGATTACCGATACAAATGGAACAGTATATCTTTAGTTCTCCGGAATCACTCGTATCACTCATTCGTCCTCGTAAAAGTTTAAACGACCGAAACCATGGAACTATCTCAGCTCCTATGAGCGCACGGGAAGATATTTTATCGCTCCGGTTAACGCTCTCCTTTCTTCTATCGCAGTCTCGCTGTAAACGCACCCCCGCTCGTTTCCCCGGTACCACTGTGGACGAAGCTCGCAGAAATATTGCTTGCCAACGCGAAAAGGATACCGTAATCGCGAAGTTTTCCCTGTTCAAGAACCCTGACGCGCCGCAACAATGAGGTGAAACGAACGAAAAGAAAAGAAAAGAAAAAGGAGAAAAGAAAAAAACGGAACACTTGGGTAAGATAAAACTGTCGGTCAAAGTATAACGACGTTCGGAGGACCGGCACATTAATCTCGGTATCTCGGAACTCGGTCGCCGCGCGAGCTGGCCCGTAAACCACGACGCGCGACGAGGTTCAACCCTTTGCACTCGACAGGTGACTCTGGGTCGCCGCTTGATGCGATACAGCAAAATTATAAGGTCTCGCACGTAATGTCGAGCTTCGCGCAATGAATCAACCTGCAAAATACTGAAATAAAACAGCCTCGTTTCTTAATTTGCGTACGTTTCCTCATTAGCCGCTTTCAAAAGCTGTCGCCGGTGTCTCGTCGGAGAACGTTGAATATTTCTAGCGAAAAACTTTCGAGCGCGAAGAGTCGAAAAGCGTGTTTCTCCGGAGAATATCGGTGCCGAGTGCATACAGGAAGAAAATCATTGATAATCCGCGTGTTCCCCGTCGCGCGAGGTAAGAAAGGAAAATAAAAAATAAGTTGGGCGGCTTCCGCGCAGCTCAAAGCGAAAGAGCCTGTCTTTCCCGTGCTCGCGCGGGAATAATGATAACGGGGATGAGATATGCGCGGCCGCGGCAGTTAGAAAGGAGGTGTTCATTTCACGCGTGCCTGCGTGCGAGCGCGGCGGGCCCGTGTATCATCTCTTTCGAAGGACTTTAAATCAGAGGGTCGAATAAAGCACGCGGTTCGCGGGCACACCCTGTGTACCACCAAATGAAAATGGACCGCGCTCCTCGGACCTTTCACGCGGATCGCAGAGAGACTTTTTCCCGTCGCCGCCCCTCGTTACGAAATTTCTGCGCGGCGCACTCTTTCCCGGGCTCGGTCGGCGGGCATTCGCGAGATTAACGAATGCGCGATAATGGATGATCGATTGCGCTCGAATTCGATTGCGCTCTCGACGGAATAAATACGGACTAAATTGTTTTCCGCGGAAACGAATCGAGTAATTCCCGCCAATCGTCGGTGTTCCCGACTCGAAATCGCGATTTCATGCGTTCCAACCGTTAACGCCGCACGGAGATCCCACCGAAACGGAGCAAATATCCGTGCGACTTTGCTGAATCCTCGGGTTCCAGCGGTCCTGGATTGTTCCGCTGTACAATGTTCCAAGAAGCAACCCCCGGGTGTTGGCTTAGGGGATTCCGAATCCGGACGGACCTTTCGCCAGGCACACGCGAACGTAAAAAGGAGGAGCAGAGGCAACGTTGCAAGGAACCGTGGACCTTCTGGAGGCGGTGCGCGTGAACGCGAGGAACGTACGAGCGTGTCGAATGCAAATTTCACGGGTCTGTCCGATGGCGTTGATGAATAAGGAATCGTGAGGTTGCCGTAGCTCGTGGCAACACGTAGCGACGGGAAAAGTGGCGCGCAGCTCTCCTCGAGAACTCGGTTTCATCGAGTAACCGAGGGATCCCTCGCAACCCCTGCAGCTCGTCGCACCCACGCCCGCGGTAATCTCGCCCCCTTTATATCTTCTTTCTTATCAACGGCTCGTGAAACGAGCGGGAACCGAACGAGGATTCCGCGAACGAAACTTGACAGAGCGTTCGCCATACGTAACGCTGCCGAGGGATTCCTCGGGTATCCGGACTGCTTCCGCGGCATCCCTCTTGCGCCTCTCCATCCCACCCCGTCTGTTCACCGATGAGTATTCAAAGAACCGCGCTCCACCCTTCTGTAAGCCGGTTCGAATGCGAACGGCGATGCGGTGTCTGCGAAGGAAACCGCGATTTCTCACAAGTCAGGATCGACGCGTCGGTAACTGAATATCTCTGCATGACCCGGTGATCCCCTATTTCTCTAGCAACGCGTCAGCTAAATCGTTCGCTTCTTCCGTTATTTAACGAAACTCGAACCAGTCTTCGTGTTCGGCATCGAAGATCCTCGACGGAATAACCCGGAGAACTCCTTGATCCGGCGAATCGCACCGCTAACGCGAAGGGATCGACGGCCGTGAAGTTGGCGCGGCGAGATCGTCGCGTGTCGCGCGTCGCGTGTCACGGAGCGAAAGCAGATTAACGCGATACCGTTCGCCGCCGGTTAAAATTCGTGCGACATGCGCCGAGAGAGGAAACGATGAAAATTTGAAGTAGTGGGCTGTCGTCGGTCGGTTCACCGTCAGACGGAATCCTTCGGCGTCGCGCGAGAAGCGGCCGAGAACGCGCGCCCCGTCCCTCGCCTGCTCCCTCCTCCCGCTGCCGCGATAAATTATTCCCGGCCAGGTTATACGATGCAAAGTGAATGCACGTAATCTTTCGAAATTCCGTAAGTTTGTAAGGGAACGCCACAGGCGCGCCGGCACGAACGGGAAATTGCCTTTCCTCGGACCGGCGGCCTTCGCGCCCCTAAAAAATTCAAAACCGCCGAACCCTGAAAAATCTCCTCGGCCGACGTTTGATTCTCCGCGCGGCCCTCATCGAGAACCTTTTCACTCGCCCGGCGAACGATCCTCGGGCGAGCTCCCGCGAGCCGGACCGTGACGTCTCGATCAGCCTCCGGAGGAAATCCGGGGAACTCTCCAGGGAAAAATGAAGCGAGGCACAAAGTGTATCGCGCAGACCATCAACTTGTCCAATCCGGAGACCTGCATACGACCCAGGAGAGTCCAGAGGCTAGTGGACGCGGAAGGGCTGCAGCAGCCTTGTCCCAGCGCCGGACCATCCTCCTATTGGGCACCTAGACCCGTGCCGGTGAAAGTTTGCTCGCGAAGAGACATGCAGAGGACTTGCCCTCCGAAGGTACAATCTCGTGTCGTGATCGATTAACCGCAAGCTGAAACGCAGGGGCTTAGGGTATCGTTCGATCGTTTCACTTCAATTCGGAATCCTTCGTGTTTTCGGCAGAATGCAGTTAACCATCGAGACTTCCTCTAGCGAGTGTCTAGTAGTGACGCCATGTCTAATCGGTCGATTTTCATCCCTCTCGTCCCATTTTCCATACTAATTCACTACGCGTCGCGAAACCCTCTTGCCCCGTTCCATCTCACTGCCATCATCTGGCAGTCGAACGCTCAAGTCGCTGGAGGCTCGCCGTAAGATACCCTGTGGCCGAACGACGGCTGACTTCCGTTTCTTCGCGATCACGTCTCGTCGAGCCATCTATCCGGGCCCGGTTTCCAGGCCGACGCGCGACTCGCCCGCCGAAACAGGCTATTTACTATTAATGAGATTCCATCCGGGTCGCGTCGACTCGTTAACAAGGGACGTTCTAGGATCGGGACGCGCGCGAATCCTGTTCCCGTGTTGCCAGCCGGCACGGTCTGTCTTTACGCGATATTGACGTGCCGCGCCAAGGGGACCGGCGATGCTCCGGCACCTGTACGGAATTGGTTAACCGATACGTAGCCGCGTTTACCTGAAATTAGCCCGACAGTCCGGCGTACACAGGTACAGCGGCGCCGATGGGTCTCTAATGGAGGAGGACAGTTTCGAGTTCCCGTACTTGTTAGGGACACGTACGTACGTGACCTCGCCGGCCGAGGGCGACGCGTTCAGCTACCTCTGACCCCCCTCTCGCCGGACGGGCGCCCTCCTAGGACACTCCTGGGGGTTCAAGGGGTCGCATACCTTCGTTTAGGTCAAGGAAATCGATTTTTATCAAGTTGCACACACTCTATCGATACGACGCTTTCAAAATGTTCCGACGTTTCGCTCGGAAATTCGTGAAGCCACCGGATCTACATTGCGCAGGTGAACGACGGATGTAAGCGATATTTTTCTATTGCAAACGGGTTTGGGAAAGACTGTCGTGTTCTTACATTTCGAGATTTATTTCTCCGGTTCCACTTTTATTATACCCCCGGTGGAAATTCAGAATGTATCGTGTTTCTTGGATTTCTGATTTTTCCTAGGACAACCGCGCGTGGAGAACATGTAATATTGTCGGGGAGTTTTCTCGATTTTATCGGTTTAAAGATTCAGCGTTACAGAGTGCGAGGGGTTAATAGAACGTTGTTTTGCGGATGACAAAAATATGAATATTTCTGTGCTCGCGTGCAACCCCTGGGCAAACGTGGGGGATCTCGAGGCGCGAAGATTCTCCGCTGTCGCTCTTTCCTGTTGCGTTCCGACGTTTAATCTTGGACAGACCGAGGGTAGACTCCCCAGTTGCAAAATATTAAAAATATCTGCTCCCTGCCGGCCGGGATACCCCGAAAAATGTATTTACCGTCTACTCCCCGACGGTGGCGGTAAAAAATCGTCTTCGGTTCAACGGGGACGTCGTTCCTCGCGTAAAATTGCCGCGGGAACGAATGATTACGAGCGTTGATGAATTGTTTAATCCCGAGGCTTCAGCTGCTCCCTTATTTAACCCGCCGATTATGTATGCATGTGTACGCGCGGCTGTGTGCGCCTAGATCTGACGTATACGCGGTTAAAAGTGAACGTCAAATTTTCAACGAAATTGCCTCTCGGAACTTTCCGCGAAGTGGAAATTATGTAGCCGGGCGTATCGATTTAACTCGGTCGCACCGACGAGCCGCGGAATTTTATTGGAATTCCGAGTGAACTATGTAAATACAGCCCAGCGTCGCAGAGGATGATCCCGGATGGAAACTAAGCGTGCAATTTCGACTTATTCTTAGCTCTGCGACTGTCCCCCGAAAGCGCCGCCGAAAAGCCTCGGTCAGAAGTTCTGCGAAGCAGTGCTGTTCGTCTTGAAGAGCGGCGTCGCGGCTGGCCTCGTTTATTGGACCAATTCCGAGGGATTGTGGGGATCCAGCGACGACGTGCAGGACCTATATCAGCGGATACTGGCCACCGTCGCGCCGTCCACCCTCGCCGGGCACGACTACGACGATGTAACGACCGACAGCCGCGATATTGATACGTTAACCCTCGGGAGGCTGGCGTTCTTCGTGATTTCGTAGACGTCTGGGTCCATTAGTGATTCGTCCCGAGTGTTGTATAATTGAACGAATCTATCGGATATAGAACCACAGACGGGACACGTAGAAATGTCTATATTCATCGGTAATTCGTTTTAAAGTATAATGTAATCGAAAGAATCTACAGACATCGAAGTACGGAAATATAGCGACGTCCAGGTTCGTTAATTTCTTTGTCAGAATTATAATTGGACGAATTTATAAATATAGGAGTACGGAAGTGATATATGGGAATGTCTAGTTCCGTACTGAACGTGTTTTAAAGTGTAATGTTATTGAATATTTTATAAGTTCGAATGTTTCACGACAGGAGAGTAGAGAAGTCGGTCGAAAGATTTGAGCAGCTAAATGAAAATGAACCGAGACGCGGCCGACCGAGGGCGAACCTTCTGAAAATCTCCTCAGCCCTTTTACCCTGGACAAATCCGTTTCTTCGCTGCAGCCCGAGTCGACTCGCGCGGAACTCTTTAAGCAGAACCTGGCCCGGAGTTACAATGACGCGGTGTACGGGACGATGAAGTGTATCGCGGGCGCCTCGTCCACGGTGCAGCAGCGGATTCAAAGGGTTCTGACCAAACGACGGGAGAATCTCGAGGAGGCGTCGTCGAACATGTCCGCGGACGATGACGATGAGAGCTAGCACGGATAACAGACGGTCCCCCGGCAACCCACGCCCGCCTCGCGGATGAAGGGCTTCGAAAATGTATCGTGTGTCGTCCCCTCCCTTTCTTACCTCGGGGGAGTCGCGTTTAATCCGTCCCCGTGGCTTTGTAAACACCGGTGTACCCGGTAAAACGTGGATCTTTTTAAAAAGTGCCGTTTTGTCGTGAAATCCGGCCAACCGGTTCAAGAATCGTCCGGCAGCTTCGCCGAGGAAGTCGAACGAAAGACATTCGAGTCCTCTAAATAGTCACTATCGTTCGCTATGGTTTTACTTCATCCCCCGGCGACTCGATTCCTTCGCGATGTCAAAATATCAGTCGCTCGGATGCCAATGCGGTGGAGTACGCAAAAGGAAACTTGAGAAATTTATGTCGTCGCTTGTGAAATGATATTGTACCACAGATTCGGAAGCTGTACAAAGGACTTTCTGATCCGGAATAAACGAAGGATCGAGTAAATCCTTGAAAAACAGGAAATATCGAAACATCGACTTAACTACTGTTGACGATAGTTCGAAGATTAACGCTGGAACTACCGAGGATTTAATACGACTGATATGTGATCCCCATAAAAATTCTAACAATAGATTTTCGGTTTCTTCGGACATTCATTATAGTATTCAAGTCGAAGCTACTTATTTTCAAGACATTAAAGTGTTGAAAGCCCAATACAATTTCTAAAAATTACCTATCAGTCACATTAAATACCCGATACTTCCAGTATTAAACGAGGGTTGCGAGACGAATCAATAGACAAAGTTCAAACGACCAAAACCCGCCGTTGCTACAATCTATTTCCCATAAACCATCATCTTCAATGATCAACCTAAACAGGAATCGGTTACTGGACGACATCGAAGCACAAAACGCAGCAACAATTGATTTAATACGAAGGGCAGAATTAATTTGCGCGTCGCATATTTCGCGGGCGAGCTTCCTCATCCCCGCGCTTAAGGGTTGCCGCGGATTAAAATTCCGTACAGGCTCCATTCATTTTTTTCCCCGGCACAGCCGGCTCGAGGGCGCACAGGGGATTTCCCGCGCGGGGAGACTTGCATCTTAAGCGATTTTTATGGCGTGTCTCGCCATCGCTCCGAAACCCCCCCGGGTCCCCGTGTGTAACTTGGCCGAGGCCGCAAATTTATTCTCGCGCCCGGCGAAATACGTTACGCTCGACAGTTTGTATTTTTTCACGTTCCGCTATTAAAGCACAGCCCCGCGTCCCCGTAAATTAGATCGGGCGAGGGCCCCCATAAATTCGATTCCACGGATTTAATGGAAGACGAAGTTGATGTACGCGCGCTCCGCGGCGCAACCCCCTCCGGCTGTTTTGCATATTTCTGCTTTCGGCCGGCGCGCCCCTCGAATATCAAAGGTCAGTCGCAAGATTTTCGAGCGCGGCCGCCGCTGACAACGATTACAATAACGTAACGCCGTTCCGGCGACGCTGACCTATTGCCCTGTGATTTATTTCTCAGCCGTGCCCGACGCGGCCGGCTTGTCATTAACAATTTATTGGAAGGCAGAGAAAAATCGCGGGCATATTCCGCGCCCGCGTTTCGCTGTAAAGTGTAATTGATAATCGGGGAATAATGGTTGATTTGAAATGAAAAGGATCGAGTGATATTCGTCAGAGTCGGACGGGTTATTAGAAGCGGAAAGGTTAACCTATAATTTCTTCTGTAAGAGCTCGTTACAACTATTTCATCGATAATTCACTAAACAAACGAGTTCTACGTTTGTGGTTCGTCTACGTTCGGTCTACGGTTTTACAATTATAGACGAACAATTGATTTTAACTGAGAATAGTAGACCGGTACGCTCAGTATACCAGTCAGCAATAACCAGAGCTTCTAAACGACTTGAAAACAATTCTAATTTGTAGAGCAACTAACGGCGTACAATAGCGTAAACAACTAGATAACGGTGTATCATGAAAATCGTAATCCCAACTGATTAACACGTCGACGTAAATGGCGTCTATAGCCGTCCAATGCTCGCGAATATAGGGGCAAATGACGGCAATGGCCGACCTATATTCTCAGCACTATAAATAGCGGAATACAATAATGATATTCCGAGAGTACGAAATCTTTTGGAGAGCTCCCCGAGAATCGACTGATTAATAACAAGAAGTAAGAATCGCTTTCCATCTTCCAATACCGATTCCAAAGCGAGCGTCACCGTGTTAATAATTCCTCCTCGCGTTTACCGCAAGGAAAACAAGCCGAGCATAAAAAGCTGAAGTTTCCCGTGGCAGTCGCGCGTTAAAGATGACGCTGCCGGTCCCGGAATCGATCGACGTCGTTGAAAAAATTCGTTCTCGCCGCGAGCCGGCCGTATCGCGCGCTCGTCGTGCATTCCGCCGGTATACATCACTCTTTATCGGCGGATCCCACGGGTTCGGTATGCTTATTAATAGACACCGCGCGCCCTTAGATCCTCTTCGAAAAAAATATGGCCACGATTACGCTGGCAAATGAGAGAACGCTCGCGATCCACGGGGACGACGCGCGTTCGCCGCGCCGCGCCGCGCCGCGCGATCGCTGGGGGCGGGAACCGGCGGAGAACCGAGCGAGCGTGGAACATAGATCGCGGGGGGCCGTATATCGACCGCCCGGCTATCTCGGCGCGGAGTAGAAGCGTCCCGAATCGATAGGGGAATAAATCAAACGTTAATAAATCAACTTTAACGTTCCTAGGGTCTCGCCCTGCGAGCGACCAACGGAAAAAAACGACAGAAAGAGAGGGCAGGAAGGGCGCGCTGAGACAAAGCTGCGTCGAATATCGTTTCCAATAGCGACCGGTATTTCCGATTGATAAAATCCGTTTGATAAGCGCGCCCTCTCGTCCATTAATTCCGGCGCTGAACACGCGAGGAGATTCAGCACGGAGGTGCAATTGCGCGCGGATTTCCAGCGAACCTATCGAGAGCTCTAATTGGCGCGCACTTCTCGCACGCGAACGGCGCGATCGTTTCGGACGGATGGAAGAACGACGGGACGTTACACGGCTGAAACTAATTGTGCGTCACCTGCGAGTGGAATGGTTCCTTGGGAAACCTCCCCTTGTCAAGACGCGAAGCGGAGGTTGCCGTTCCTCTGTGGAGATGCGCTCGAGTGTGTAGGCGTTTTGTGAAAGAAGGGAGAAGGGAAACAAAGGAGCGTATGTTGACTCTCCAGCGAGATAGGTGATAAACTGGGCTCTGCGTGGAGGGTGAAACTGTTGGAACCCTAACGGAAAATGTAGAAGGGGCCCGATGTTTTGGAACGGCCCCGAGACGCTTTTCGAGGAGAAGCTGATGCGTCGTCTTTGTAAACGGCCGCTTGAAACAGCGCTCCCGCGTCTCTGAATACGAATACATTGAACGTCCTATTCTACAGGTATGAAAATGGAAAGTTTGTTGGTGGCTAGGTTTACTGTGCACTGGGTTTTAGAAGTTATCCACGATTCTGGCAAAAATTGGAACAAAAGTACTGCCGCTGCAGCGAGAACGGCTACAAGCAACGCGCCGGCTAAACCGTGTCCTTCTTTTCATTTTTGCTCGTTGACTGCTAACTCTCCGAGGATTCCGAAACAGCGAGAAAATAGAAGCAAGGCGAGTCCGGAGATCTAAATGCTTCAGAAGGATCAGCGAGCTCCCCTTACAAGACACCGGAGTCCCAAGAGGATGCCTAAAGACCTAGCAGTGCTTTAAGATTCCCCGGCCACGAGGAATCTCGAAATAACAATGGCCGCGGGGATTACTTAGCTCAAAATACCGTTGAGTATATCTTTCGTTCACTGCTCGAAGGAGGTTATGAATGATTCTTCGGAAACACGAGTGCCATATCGAGTAGCTTATTATTTTCGAAGTTCCACCTGTGGACAGCGACAGCGACTGCTAGCGTGCTAATATTTTAAGGTTGTACATCGTGACGTTACATCAACAGGTTCACGTAACTGTCTATATTCCTAGTATTATAAATGAAAAATATAATAATTCTATTCTGAAAGTGATTTTGTCGTCCATCGCCGATCTCAAAGTGACCGTCAACGCGTTAAAGAATATTATCGAAAGTCTCGTTTCTCACCGATATCATTTTCAAGGCATAGATATTTACAGAATTCGTTAAGGGAAAGAAAGTGGGCTCCGAATTTACTCGCCAGGATATTTTCTGTACACGCGTTCGAAGGTCTTGTTTCAACGGTCCCCGAGAACCTTCCGCGTTTCGACGGAATTCATGAGTCGACAATTGCCACGAAGAGTCGTGAGAATGCATCCTTTAATTACGCTGCAGCACACATCGAGGATGCAATTCCCCGACGAAGGGCGCGCGTGCAAAGGGACACGCTTCTTGCTCGAGATATTTTCGGTCCGCGACGAAGGATCAGGACGCGGGGCTGTTCGCGAAAAGGGTGACGTCACGGGAAGAGCATTGGCTCGCCGGCAAGGGAAAGAGGAGGAAGAAGATTCGCCGAATACCCAGGGCAAAGAGGAAAAATCGAGCGGGGCGAAAAACGGCGACGGGGACGGGGGCGGGCAGCGTGTTCAGACGATCTCGAAGTAATTACGTCGGAAAAAGGACCGAGGATCGGACCATAACCCGGCGAATAATTAATTTATAATTAAGAGAAGCTGCAGACGTCGCGGACCTTCCGAGGAGAACTTCTTTTTCACTTTCCCAGCGCGCGCTGCGAACGGGGCCATCCGCTCGGACGAAGACGAACGCTGATTGCTGAACGGGACACGGGTTTCCTGGTGAAACGTTCGCGCCGTTTGAATACGACCTATGTTCACGTACTAGATTACAATTTCACGCGTATTCGCTTTTACAGTTGAATCACTTGACTTACGTCGAAGAATCGTAGATCGATTCTTCTCAACCCTGGAAAGACAATGTTCAAAGGTACACAAGTGACTACGTAGTTGTGTAAGACAATCGAATCATTGAAGCTCGATCTATTTTATTCTGAACATAATTCTAGTAATGCTCAT